CGCGGCTATAAGCTAAAGGCTCACCGACGAGAGCCTGGAGGTCCCAGTGGTGCTCGGATGGCGGATATGCGGCCACATTTATTCAATTGTGAATACTCGACGCTCTTTGATGAGAGCGCAAACGCCTCCTACCTGGACAGTTTTTTCATGTCTTTTATGTTGGCTTCGGACGTGGAGATGCCTTGCGGGTTGGTTTGGGCTCAATTGGTTTTTGTCATTGACTTTTCGGCGGATTGTTCTATGTTTTTTGTTCTGGTTTGGTCACATACTAAGATATACTAAGCGCCCCTTCATTGTATAAAGACCGGTTTTTGGGGCGGTTTGGACTCAAGAACCGAGACTAAGTCAAATGTTTTGTTTTGTGGATGTTTCAAATGTTCGACGTTTTTGTTGGAAGCATGACCGTGACAAGATCAAACCGTGAGTTTGTCTTGATTGTGATTGACAGCAGTGCGGGGCGACCCCCGTTGACTGCTTGAACAATCATCCACCAGGTCGTGTTTGGGCAGTGTCCATAATCAATTCACCAATCCCAAACGGAAAGAACGTGATCCACTTCACCATCTAAAGAGCGACAGCAAAAACCGTTGAGCCATGAGCCAACATGAGCAAAGACGAACTCAGGTCTTCTTATATTAGAAGAATACAGAAGACCTGAGATTTCAGATTCCTTTGTGACATTAAAAACCGGAGACCAAGGCGTTCAGATTCCGGACCCTAGGACTCCAGCCGCTCAGCCTTCTGTTTGTGACAGGATCAGAGGGATCGCGTTTACATCACTTCAGTGGGTGATGATTATTGCCTCTGCGCCAGCTCTCTACTGCTCTCACGCCGGATGTTCCAGCGCTTCCTCACGCTCCGCGAATGGGATTGGGACCATCGACCCAACCAGGCGTCGTCGTGGGTGGCAGATGGATTGGGTGGATGGAACAGATGAAACACGATCCAAGACAGTGAAAGACCCAACTCCTGCCACTTTCCACAAGGTTCCTGGGTCTCCGACCCTATACTTACAACAAAAAATGAACAAAACACAGTGTCCACTAATTATTGTATCTACACTCCACACCACATTTGAACCAATGGTGAATCTCCTGAACTTCTCGAGTACGTTTCTTCAGATGGTTTGCTGATGTTTTGCGATCTCTCATGTCTTTCTTCCACCTGTGGCCGGTCCACCTGTGCCGCACAAATCCATCGACCGGTCCTTCGGCCAGGCATCTTGGGCAATTTCCGAGTCCGTTGATCCGTCACTGCAGAGGAGCTGGGTTCCTGTGACGCACGAGCGAATGCAGGCGCTGCATTTGATGCCCTTGCACAACGATGGGCTACAACAGCACACTTTCACACACGCAGAAGTCGATCAGTTGATACTTGGAACATCTTGGAAACAGGTCTTCGTATCGCAGTGTTTTTCCCCAAGGTCAAATTGTATGTGGTACATCGGGATGGGGTTAAGAAACCGTTTTGGGGTATGTCTTTGAAACCAGATGCTTGGATTGTCTGGTACATATCTTGAGACTGTTGTGCCAGAACATGTGTTTGTTTGTTTTTGAACTAACATATGACCTTCCGGTCATGGCCAATTTGTTCGACTATTCCCTGAGGATCCAAAGTTAGCTCTATATGCTAACATTTGGGGTTGTGCCTTCTGAGGCTCTCCGACCTCGTTTTTTGAGGTCCGACCTCAAAAAATGAGATCATCCAGAACCCAAAATCCACAAAACCACAAAACCCAAAACCACAAAACCCAAACCAGCCCATCCACGACGACCCACGACGCTCGAACGCACGATCGACGACGCGATCGGGCGCTCGAGACGATCGCGCGCGCGCGCGCATCGCAACGTGCGGTCCACGCCGCAACATTGTCACCTTCTCTGGCGGCTGCAGTTGGGGTCAACCGCCACTTGGCTTTGAAGCAGCCGGCCGGTGGCACAAGTTTGGAGTGAGCCCCTGCGGATTGGTTATGTATTTTGGAGATGTTTGGAGAGATCTTTATTGTTGGCATGGTATACTGTGGTGGTAACTGCATGAACTCAACTATGTGGTGGAGCTTTGCTACACACTATTCACCCTTCATCGCTTGGGCTCCAGGACCCCAAACGCAACAGCCATCGGCACAGAATTCTGAATTCCATCAGGGGGCCCCTGTGCACACACTGTGCCAGTTTCTTTGTCAATCCAATGTGATCTTCATCCACATAACAGTGGTTGAAGCGCTGGTTGAAGCCCCACCATGCATGCTCTTCATTCACGTGAACGAAGCAGTGTAGTTTGGGCTGGAGCTTCCACCTCTGATGCCCTTGCAACAAAGCAATCAAGGCCAACCTCTCCACAGTCGCCACGAACTTGCGGCCCACCATATAGAGGCCAGCTCTTTGATTCAAATCCAGATACCGACCAGCCCTCTCCAGCATGTCGAACCACCCACATAGTGCTCGAATTCCCACGCATGCGTTGACGAGTTCGACATCTCGTGGGTGGTCCTCCAAGCAAGTGTGACAACATCGGTCTAAGAAGATCAACATGAGCCTGCCATTGTAAGCTTTGCAAGTCAAGCTCGGGTAGCCATTTGCAACAGAAAGCACGCCCTGCGTGATATATCCCTGACTGTGCCTTAGATTGCATGGTCAGAAGATGCATCCATCACATCTTTGAGTTTAAGTACTAAAACTCATGAACTAGCAGAACCAACAGCTGTCCAGAGACCAACAAAACACTATATACCCCTACTGGAGGTGCATGTATAGTGATATCGTTTTTTGATGGTCTCTGAACCTCTGTTGGGAAATATCGTAAATAGAATATCGAGCCACCCAAGCCGGTTGACACGGGCCCATGCTCGGAATCTGGAAGACATGATTCGCAGGGAATCATCAAGAGATCCATGTCCGAAGAATCCTTGGGACTCCACTCCACCCACTTTAGGTTGTATTGTTTTGGTCAACACATTGGGACCAGTTGGGAAACACACACCAAAAAGTACTTAAGTAGCTGAGCTTCCTTTGCAGCAAAGTAGAGCCACTATGGATCCATTGAAAGAACAAAGGATTCCCAGATTCACCAGGTGCATGGTACACCAGCGGATCTGTTTGGGCGAGAACCCAGGCACAGTGAAGAGGGGATGCTCATACCTAGCAGGGGTTGTAACCTTTGTCAATTTAGCATTCCCATATGTTTCTTATTAATGTGCATGTAGTGTGTTTGACAACACCCCTGCCTGAAACATCGGGCCACTGCATTGGGGGTGGTCCTTCTTGCAAACGTTCTTCCAAGACGTGTCCACCTCAACATACCCATCGGCTGGAACCAAGCATAACAAGACCTACTCCAGTACTATATACTTATGTTCGAACATCAAAACACAACATGTGAAAACATATCAAATTCATCGAGGTACCTGTTGAGTACAGCCCCCCCCCTTCACGGCATTGCAAACATGGCAGATCTCTGCCGCCCCCCAGTGGCACTTTAGGCCAAATGCCTCACGCTGCCACTTCAGATCCCCTCTGTACTCCACCACGTATGCTTTGCCACCTGAGGGGAGCCCACCAGAGCCCCAGCAGGTGCATTGAGGGAACCAACAGGATGGGCAATGGCGATGTGTTGCCGGGTGTTGAAGGGTCTTGGAGGATGAGACGTGTTTTCATGCAACACATCAACCCAAAACCCATGTTTACTATGTACATGTGGTTTGTCAAACCATATAGAACGATTCCACACCTGCAATGGGCTTTCCCTGGTTCTTTGCATGGATCACTGGCAGTGGTTTGCCTTCAAAGTCAACTTGTGGATGAACACCCGCTGCTAAAGCCTAGGTGTCGATGTGAACACTAGATGGTTCATGCTAGAAGTACCTAGTGAACCACACAC